GAACAGTAACCAGAAAAAAAATATATATATAAGATTACAAAAAAATAATTTGCTATCAAATAAAGCTTGAAGCGAAACTCCTAATGATCCCTCTATCAAATGAAAATGACGAAGAGGTCGCCGGTTATTAGGAACTACCATGAAAAAATGAAGGTAGATTCATTCGAAATCTTTCATTTCGTAAAAATAACCAACAAATTTTCTGAACGCACATTTCAGAGAAATCAGTATTGTAAAACCAAAAGTTAAAATCAGCCCAGGGTTTAGTTGAAAGTATCAATAATAATCCTTGACCATAAATTCCACGTTACAAAGAAAATAATCATGGTCACGCATATAGAATTACACAATTTAAACAAGTTTTATAAGGAAAAGGAATTAGGATTTCATTAATAAAACGCTATTCCATTCTTTAGATTGTATCACTTACCAAGAAAGAAAAAAAATGAACTCACCATTCTGTTGGCAATACTAGAGATGGACACAATGAGGAAAATCGGATGCAACAATATTCTGAAATGTATTATGTCCGAAAATCTGGGAAACTTCACCCCGCACAGGATTATGAACTGGGGTTCTTTCAACATTTTATCACCCTTTTCTGCAATGTTATCATTACTGCCTTTCATCTTTCCCCCTTCAAGCGAGAGGGCGCTGCTAAATTGGTCGATGACGTCACATGAGCTGTAGAGGTTGCTACGGAGGGAAGTTCTGAGAACGCTGGCTACTCTTCTGCCGCCGCCCACACGCTCGCCCTCCTCTGCTTCGGCGAGAAATACCTGCGCTTCCCCTTCAGGAGTCGTTGACTCGAGGGGTCTATGACAGCGACAGGGGTCATGAGGGTGCATATGACAGTTGCTTTCGGCTTCTGTGCCACGTGATTCATTTCCGAATTCCTCTCCATCAAAATCGTCCGAATCATTTACCCTTGTGCCATTATGGGTCTCTTCCTGGCACGGTCTAGCTTCGATCAGGCGAACGTTGGCCAGCGGGTTGGGCTTCAAGTGCCACTCGACCGGCTGGTAGAGAGCGGCGCCCACGAGGCCGTGCAGCAGGATAGCCGACCACAGCATGAGGGCGCCCTGGTGGGCGTACGTGTTGGCGAGGAACCTGACGAGGGGCGGCATCACCATGAAGCCTAGCGAGGATCCCAGCATCGAGAGGGCGTTGGCGGCCACCCTCCTTCGGCGGAAGTACATCTGGCCCAGGATGAAGCCTTGAGGATTCACAAGGCCGCGGCCCAAGCCTGAAACGATGAATGGAAAGTTTGTGCAAATTCACCAAGGACTTACATATACCTAAATTTGCAAGCATTTTATATAACTTCAAACTTTCTGGCTGGATCATTTTACCTCGCAAGATTCAAGTAAATCGTACATGATAAAAAAAGAAAAAGAATATTTTTAACCACTATATACAATTTATTTGTATTATATCATATCTGCTTGATATCACGGCAACACCCTGCTAAAAAATCGACGCTCCTACGACCATGTACAACTCCACTTAATCTACTTTGATACCGCGTCTCTTGCTGCAGAAGAAATTTGCCCGGCGACAAGCCTCAGAAAACAAGGCAGCGACCAGTTCACTCCAGTTTCCGTGGCCTTCAGTAAAAAAGACACGACTATTGCCAAACAACCTCTCCTACACCTCCGCAGACACGCCTCTCACCTCCAACAACTCCAAAGCAGACGTAGAGCCAAGACAGGTTGTCCCAGAAGGCGCTGAGGAACACCCCCGCGGCCATTGTACAAATGCCGAAGACGCTGAGTCGACGGTGGCTGTAGTATCGGCTGAGACTGGTGGCCAGAGGACCTGTTAATGCAATAATCTTTCTAACTGACCAATAAAAAGTGATTTTTAAAATTAAATATCTAAGTTTTAGTGGGGTAAAATTGTACCAGAATTCTAGTTAAAGTAAAACAGCCGATAATACTCGCAATAAAATAATAAATAAATAAATAAATAATAAATAGACTAGTTACACAGCCAATACAGAGTATGAGTGTAGCTGCACATTATAGCATGTACTCACCGATGAGACAGGAGAGGCCATACAAGAGGCCAGGAATGGGTGCCACCTGGGAGTTCGTATATCCTAACGACACGAGGCGGACGTACACGAGGCCGAAGCACGTGGAGAGCGTCGGCAGCACGAACTATGCCAGAGATACGGAGGTTAAAAGTCTATGTGCAATTATGTAGATGTATCTTCGCGTTCAGGTATGTAAAAAAAAGGACAAAAAAATATAGATGGATACATAGATAGATATATTTATATTTCCACAAGTCATCATAATAAAAGAATTGCATCTTTACTTGGAATATCACCAAAATAGAGAGCATTTAAGTTAATATTTTGCAAGAAATAATGGCAGTCTTTTACCCACCTGCATGATACCACAAGCGAGTACAATGAGCCAACCCCAGCCACCGTCTGGAGGCACCAGCTCTTCGACAGGTGGTTCTTTATGTTTGAATGTTCTCTTAGAACCTCCTTCCTCAGTACCAGACCCCCTGCCAGTACCTGAGGAAATTTCCATTTCAAATTTCAGTACGCGCTTTACTAGAACTTGCATGCAATTAATACATTTTTGAAAATTCGATTTCGGAAGAATCCGAATATTCTTACTTTTATGGTAGAGAAGGGATATCTCCTTTGTGTGCTTTTTCCATAAGTTTACAAAGTACATGTGTTTATAGTGGACAGAACACACATTCCCGCTGAGGTATACTTCACGCATGCAATGATTTAGCAACTGCACGTACGGTAATCCTTTAATAATGACGATATTCGTGTTTCGACCTTTTACGATGTCGCTGTTAAACCAATTTGTAAACAATATTTATATTTATATAAAAAAAACGTACTGTATAAACTCATACGAACACCACAATAAACTAGGTGTATGGACTGAAATATTATATAGTGATCATCCCAAAATTATGTCCTGTTTTATTGCAGATGTAGTAGTAGTAGTGAGAGCAGTAGTAGTAGTAGCAGCAGCAGTGTCAGCAGCAGCATTAGTAGCTGTAGTAGAAGGTAGCAGGAGTAGCAGTAGTAGCAGCAGCAGTTTCAGTAGTGGTAGCAACAGTAGTAGCAATAGTAGTAGTAGTGGTAGTAGTAGCAGCAGAAGCAGCAGCAATATTAGTAATAGTAGTAGGTAGCATTAGTAGTAGAAGTAGTAATAACATTAGTAGCAGTAACAACAGTAGTAGTAGTAGTAGTAGTACCATTATTAATAAAAGTAGTAACAGTAGCAGCAGCAGTAGTGGTAGTAATAGTTGGAGCAGTAGTAACAATAGCGTTAATAGTGGTAATACACTGGCTGTTTTTCATAATCTTTCAATTCAGATCACAGCGTAACAGTCGTACAAGAAACACATACTTCTTAACAAACGGCTGCTTTCGGGTACCGGACAGTGCACTTTCCCCGCATGAACTGAACTATGCAGGTGGCATCAGGGTCATAGAATCCACTTTTGCACAGCTCATCAGCTGAGAGAACCCCCCCCCCCACACACACACACCATACACTAAAAGATTCGATTCCCGATGCATATACATGTACAAACACACACACACACGTGTGTGTGTGTGTATGTGTGTGTGTGTGTGTGTGTGTTAGTGTGTGTTAGTGTGTGTGTGTGTGTGTGTGTGTGTGTGTGTGTGTGTGTGTGTGTGTGTGTGTGTGTGTGTGTGTGTGTGTGTGTGTGTGTGTGTGTGTGTGTGCAAGTCCGATTTTGCTGTCTTGCTAATTTGATATAATTCATATGCCCTTGATGGTGCCTTGCTCTGCTTCACAGACACATACAACACAAGCAGTATCAACCGAGAGTGAAATACAACCCGCAGATCTTACCCATGGCTCGAAGACACCCAGCTTCTCACAGGAGGTGAATGAACCGCACTCGCATCGTCCGCCAAAAGTTTGCGCCGAGTGAGTTCCTCTCCGGCACACTAGTTAGCGTAATTATAATTCCCTTGTCAGAGGCAAGTACCACTGAGTGTAAGGATTAGGACAAACTGGCAAAGTTCAGATTCGCTTTCACTACTTCAGGGTCACGTACATACATGTAAGTCTCTGATATATATATATATATATATATATATATATATATATATATATATATATATATATATATATATATATATATATATATATATATATATGTATATATATATATATATATATATATATATATATATATATATATATATATATATATATATATATATATTACCTATCGAAGAAACGCAAAATCAAGTGAATTTATCTCCAAAGGTTTCATTTAAATAGATATACAGCACATGATGTGAAAACTGTTCAAGTAGTATGAACAGAATAATTTTCTTGGTTAATAAGTTTTACATAATGTTTTGTCATAATTTATTAGAATTATTGTGATTTTACTTTTGGATAAATAATCGTTACATTATAGAAAATATTAACAAATGATCCTGTCGTCAATACGAATATTCAGATCAATTATAGCTTCACTATGTATAATTGCTTCAAATATCACCAGACGTTGCCAAGAGACTAACCCTCTCATGCACTGAAGCTGCTGATACGCGAAGAAGCGGCGAGTGCTTTCTGGGTCCTTCCGTGAGTCATGCGGCTGCTGCGACCGGGCTCAGAACTTTGCCGAGTTTATCTCCCTTGACGTTAATACTATCATTTTTCTCAATATGCATAATATTCATGCTCACTTTCTCTTTCTCTCTCTCTCTCTCTCTCTCTCTCTCTCTCTCTCTCTCTCTCTCTCTCTCTCTCTCTCTCTCTCTCACACACACACACACACACACACACACACACACACACACACACACACACACACACACACACACACACACACACACACACACACACACACACACACACACACCATCTAAAAGCTGTCTGTACAATATAGTTGCTGAAGCATATGCCATTATTATTGAACATGCCAAGGCCTTTTATAAATATTTTTCTTTGATCTCTACTCCTGCATCTGAAAATGTTCTAGGTCTTGGATTTGGCATATATCCTATAATTCTGAAGAATTTATCAGCACCGAATTTTATATCATTCTCAATTGCCCAATTACAATTAGCATGTGGATCCTATGTAAGATAACGCTATCTGCAAATTTTGTTCTACTGGTGTGTTTAATAGCTTTGTCAATGTCCCTAATCATTGGTGGTAACAACAGTGGTCTCACAACTAACCCATGTAGCTTCGACCTCTGGCATTTGACTCCCTTGATAAAACTACATTAACCAGCAGGCTGTGCTTATTATCTCTATGGAAATTGTGTATCCTTACTCCTACTTTTCCCTGAATCTGAGGTCCTTAATTTTGAGGAGCAAGATTTGTGATCAGCTAAGGGCGATTAGATTATAGTTGTGGCAGGGATTAGCAAATGAGAGAGGGATTTAAGGGCAATTAGATCACAGTTTCTGGGAAAATGTCAGGAGGGAGAGAATCCAGGGAAGGGGTAGCTGTGACAAAGGGTCACATCTACGGGGAAGCAGGTGGGATAATGGGGAAGGAGGAGGGGACGATGCAGCTGAAGCAGGGGTATGGGATGCGTTGGGAGTGGGAGGAAGGGAGGATGGATAAGGTGTAGGCTTGTTATCTTGGGTCATGATGAGATAGTTTTGAATGTCTTCGAGAGTCCGCAGTGGAGTCGGTTAGAGAGGTCTGAGAAACAAAGGTTTTCTTATGGGGGGGAGAAGAGCGTACAGATGTGTGCGGAGTGGAGTGAGAGGTTGATGTCTTGTGCGATGAGTTGGGCGAGGAGGAAGAGGGGAAGCAGTGACTGGAGTGTCTGGAATAGTGGTGGAGATTGGGATGTCTGGATTTAGAATGGCAGAAGAATTTGACTGGGAGAGGGAGGGGGTAGACGCGTGATGAGGAATTGATGCTGGGGAGATATAGAAACATCTTGGGAGGAAAAGGGAGCAGAGCAATTATCGGAGTGGGGAGTGAGAGAAACCTCATCTGGCTTCGCGTAATGTGACGCCAAGTTTGAATCGGAGATTTTCCACTTCAGAGTCATACTTATAAGATGCGTTATGGGAACCACCACAATTAGAACAAGTTGGACACAAAGAGGGTATCGGGCTGTGGAACGGAAGTGTTTGGCAGATTTGCCTAGACCCCAACAATTCTGACATTGACAGGGGAGTCTTCTCCACAATCTGACCAATCCTTGACGTAGACATGGCAGTTTGTTGGGGAGGTAGAGACAGTTCCGGTGCAAATATAGAGGGAGGGATGAGGTTGGGCAAGCATGGGTTTGTCAGTGAAGTTAATCAGGGTTGGTAATGCTATAGATTTCTCTCTCTTGGATGTAACTTTGACAAGGCGGGAACGATCGGGGCGACCGCGGATGGAAACTTTGCCTATTTATTTTTGGAGGCATTGCTAGAAGAGGAGAGCTAAACAGAGAGTTCAAGATATTTGTAGTGGTGGGGGTAAAAAAAGGATGGGGACGTATGGATGAGGGAGTAGTATTGAGAGGGGTTGTGCTGCAGACTGGTGGATGATAAAGTTGCAGAATAGTAATAAAGAAGGATGGGACTGAGTATTGACCTGGATGGATGATTTAGACTAGGCCTGATGTGATAGTGGATATTGAGGAGGGGGTAGTCGTAGCAGCATTCAGAGTCGTGGTCAAAGGAGAGCCTAGAATCGAGGAACTGGAATTGGAAAGGAAATCAGTAGGGCCATTTGATAGAGAGGTAAGTCTTAATGTCCCTCTTAATGGTACAAAGTCTTAATTACTAGCCATGGGGAGAGAAATAGTCCACCTCTCAGGGTCCCCTTGAGAGGCATTCATCAATGGTTAATGGTTAAAACAAATAAATGTGTCAGACATCATAGATCATATAGCACTATGATAAAGTGTTGTGGCAAAAAGGGTAAAAATGAGGATAAGTGGATAGAAGGGAATGAAGAAGAGAGGGAAAAGGAAAGGGGGAGAAGAAAAGGCCTTACAAAATTAGTTGAGGCAAGGGCTGAGGTCCAAGGTAGGGGTGACTCCCTACCTTGGGTTTCAGTCACTGCCTCCAAAGACCCCACCCCCCCAGCAACAAGAAGCAAAGGCTAAACAATTAAACAGGGGATTCCATGCCCAAAGCTCCCTTAGGCCGTTCATGACTGGCACAAAGTCAGCCTTTCATTCTTTAAACATGGCTCTCACACCTTGGGAAGTGGATAGTTGAACGGGTTAGAGGAGGAAAGGGAAAGGAGAAAATACCTTGCAAAATTAGTTGAGTCAAGGGCTGAGGTCCAAGACAGGAGTGATCCCCAGCATTGGAAACAATGGGCATGGGATTGGGGGGGGGTTGTATTTTGGGATTATTCCAGTGTCCAGGAAGTTCCTCCACAAAGCTGCCATCAGTTTAGTTATAGTTTCTTCATATCTTTTACAAAAGATGACAGGACTTTGCTGCAATAATTTTTATTACTTCATTGGTGCCCCTTTCACTAAAGATTCAAGAATCTG